CATATTTTTAGGGCCTTTGTTAGCTCATATTTCATAGTGTGAAATAGAAAATGTACCTCTCTTTTCTTTGGGATGAAGGCTTGGCTAGCCGATGATGGGCTGAATTTCAACTCCTGTTTTCTACATTTGGCTGATCCCCTTGTACAGGGTACAACTTTCCCTGAAACCTGTGTGTATCATGTACAAGGCAGGCAGTGGATACAGGTATACTGATAAATTAATCTTAACTAAATTGCAGTCAACCCAGAAAGCACCTTCCTGAAAGAGTCATAGGTACCTTGATTTGAATGCCAATGGTACTCTATCTTGGCATCTCTTAACCCTTGAATCAAGTCCAGCAAGTAATGATTCCTCATTTGTAAAATAGGAATGCTATGTAGTCTGCTGTATGGTTAAGGAAAATTATGCCAGTCACTGCAGCCCTATTTGGCATTGTACAGTATCAGCACATGCTACTTTCTCTCACTGTATCTCCTCTTGAGCCTACTTTCTGCAATTATCTGCATAGATGTTCTCCTCTGCAAAGAATAGAACTTAACACACTTTAATTTTATTCTCTCCTCTCAGGTTAAAAACTGTCACCATAATTATAGTTAGTGTTTATTAAGTGAATTAAGTTAGTGTTTATTACTGAATCTAGGCACTGGATGCTCTTCCATATATTATCTCATTTATAGCAGTTATGTAATACAGGGACTGATGTGGTCACCAGTTTATATGTGAAGAAATGAAAGGATAAGTAACATAACCCAGATCACACCTACTCCTATTGAGTTGGGATTGGAATGCAGACATTCTGAGAGTCCTCATTCTTCACTACTCCAATTAGACTGTCTCCTAGGGCATCTCTGGTTCATTACAAGATAATGTTTATCCTTGTTACCACAAAGCAGAGAAATTTCAGATGAAAATGCTGAAACAGAAAACATGACATACAAAGAATGCAGGCCCAGAACTGAATATGGTTCATAAGAGGGCAGGTGTATTGTGTTACTAACTTTCTGAGCCTGAGTTTGAATCTTTTCACTATTTCTTTGGGCAAGTTGCTTAACCTCTGTCACCCTGTACATATTTGTTTCTGCATGTACTAAATAGGAGGGGAAAATCTACTTAATTAGCTTTTTGGGTGAGGATCAAAAATGTTAATACATGTGAAGAAGAGCACTTGGAACAGTGCCTGGCCTACATTAAGAACTCAGCCAATTTACACAGCCGTCTGCATTTTCCCATTGATGACCCAGCCACCATGTTAGTATGTACAGCAATTTATCCCCTAGAAATCTGACTGCAGAATTGAGGCTCTCAGAGTGGAAAGGGTATGGATCCCAGTGAACTAAAGAGCAGGATTATGGGAGCTTTGATCAAGCATGTGGTGTGGTTACATCCATCTGAAGAGGTGTGAGCCCATCCCCCTAAGTTATAGACGGTGTTGGAAATCAACAGTGCTGCCACTAAAATGCAAATTCATAATTGCAGTTTCTATGGGTCATGAATCTAGTGCTGCCATACCTAAGTCCTCTGGGTTGAGGACCTCTAGCCTAGCACGAAAGAGGGAGGGCTTACTTTTAAGCTCCCATACGAGGCACACTTCAGATGATCGCTGTTTGCTGCCTAAGTTCTTCTGTAGCCAATGGTCCTACTTACTAATTTTGTGCCACTTGGTCTTCACCATTGAGGTATTCCAAGAAAACCTTCTTTCCAAGAAAGAAAGAGGGATAGCCAATAAGAACAAAGCCAAAGGCTCTTTTTTTTTTTTAAACAAACCTTGAGAAGTGACTTCCTGTTACTCTGACCACAATTGCTCAATATTATTTGTTAGAAGCAAGTCACTAGTTCCAATCTACACTGAAAGAAGGGATGACATAAGGCCATTAATCTCTAAAGGTAGGGACCTCTGGATCCATTTTAGAAGTTGCCTACTGTAGTTGGAGAAATTCATTCATATAAGGACCTGTTTTTGATTAGAAGTCTCTTACTAGTATTCTTGTTAGTTTTTTCCCTCTTCATGCTTAAGTGTAACTTTTGTTACTGTGCCACCTTTAAAATCATTCTTTCAGGGCCTCCCCGGTGGCGCAGCGGTTGAGCGCTGGGTTGTGACGCTGCCTGCAGCCTCTGTGGTGCCGGTTCGATCCCTGGCTGCTCCCCCGCCACCAGAGGAGGGTCCCACATGGCGCGCAGACCTCTCCTGCCACCCGCTGCTCCCCTCAGCAGTGTACTTCGTCAGTCTGCCTGTTCCGTTCCCCGCTCTGGCTCTGGTGAATTCTCTCACCCTCCCGCGCTTCTGACTGTACCCAGTGCTTGTATGTATGTATGTATAAATAAATAAATCTTAAAAAAAATAAATGAAATCATTATTTCAATAGTATCACTAGGGTCTGAGTACCCATCTTTCCCCCCCTTCCTATGAGCTTTCCATCTAGCTTTTCCACCAGAAGTATTCAGAAACAGACTACATTAATGCAAGAACATAATTATTTCCATTGCCATGACATGTGACTGGGGAACTGTATCCTTTCTTCGAACTGGATTTAATTAAAAGAAAATGAATTCAGTGTTAAGATAGGGTCAGATTTTAATATCAGCATGAAACTGTAGAACTAGAGAAATCACATCCAGAAAAGGTTAGCTGAGTAGCCCACCTAATACTTGAAACTCGTCTAGAATGCTGTTTTTCTGCTTGCTTTATGTATTGAAAAAATTGTCAAAATGTGTCAGAAACATACTTGCACTCATTTTCACACACTAATAGTAGTAAAGTTGGAAGCTGGCAGTTTGAACATTAATGCACATTTCTGTGAGTTTAGGAAGCTATTTATGATCTTCCCTTGCTATTCCACATGCCTCTGCAAATAATTGCGATTCCAATATGGAAATAGGAAGAGTAAATGGCCTTATAATATAGAAGATATGGTCTATTCCTATTTCCATGTTAAAATAGAATTTTTGTCAGTGGCATCTGGGAATGTCAAGAATATTCTGGGTCCTATTATAAATGTATGTACCTAACTTGACATTGATTGTGTATTAATCAGTCTCCACAGACTAACAGTGAACCCATTGTTATCTTGTGTACCAACATCACTGATGGCTGACTCCCTATCCCCTGATGCTGGCAGTGACAAAAATACAATACAGAAGTTAGTATCTTTTGAAAATAAATATGGGAGTCGTTTCCTTAATATGCCAGGTAAGTAACAAAGTAAAAGTGCAGTTCTGTTTCTCAGTCCACTGTGTCATGCACACTCAGGATATTTATATCATGTGCAAACAACTCTCTCTACCCATCTTTCTTAGATGAACTTAAGCCGCTGAGCCTCAATATACCTTCTTTATGTGCTCACATGAGGTCATAAAAAATTTTGCATTATAAATTGTTTATTTAATGTATGTTTAATAGCTTTTCATGGCAGTATGTAGAGATATAATGGTATATTCTACTTTATAGCTGTATAGTGTTCTATTGTATAATTAAACCAGTGAGATACTGACATTTTTATCAACAGTTTTGGCTACAAACACAATGCTGCTGAAAATTCCATCTATCTTTATCTTTGCCTGCTTATGAGATTCTTGTGTGACACATCCATTTTGAGTGAAATGATACATGTGTTCTAAAGTTTTAGACAAATCTTCCCCTAAAATGCATGAACTGATTACAGATCTGTCTATAGGAACTAGCGATATTTCTCATAATTGAGTTGCAATATTTCCAAATAACCCAGAGAATTGATACATTCCATGGCTTCATTCTGAACTTGGAATTTGACACATCTTGTAGTGCTTTCACATTACTTCTGAGCCTACCAAGATATCTAACATGAAATTTTATTTTCAAAATTTTATCTAAGAGTTGCTACTTTCAAATTGAATATTTAATGTTTTATAGTGGTAAGAATACCTTTCTTTGTAAGAGTTAGTGTCATATTAGGGAAACCAAACTTATGTTGTCAATATTTCCTAAGGCTAAGATGAGACTAAAGAGGATATAGGTGAGATGACAGAGTAGAAGGCCCCAGTGCTCTGTCCCCTGTTTAGCAGCCCATGGGTGAAAATAGTACTGGGATAGCTTCCGAGTACAATTAGGAGCTACAGCAACACAGTAAAACACAACACCCTAGGATGACACCATAGAATAGTCAATACATTTTATCTTTATAATCTCTTTATCTCAGCCCAGCTTAGTGGCAACAGGGATCCCCTGGCCTGCAACTGGGGAAAAGGATAATATCCACCATCATCACTGAATATGACAGAATCTTTGCCACTAGGATCCCAATAGTCTTTTCCCGTGCTGACCCCAGCATTGATACTGATAGACCTGCCCAATCCACACTGCTAGACCCTGCTCCCCAGCACCAGAGCTGCTGCTTCATGCCCAGAGAGCAGGACCTACCCGTATATCCCTTCCTCAGCCATGATGCCACAGCAAGCAGTCCTGTGATCTGGTATCACCAGTGTTTATGCTCCTGCATCCCTGACTAATTTGGGTTATGTGCACACACATCAGTCCTGCTGTGACCCCATATCCTAACTTGTATCTCCATGGACACCTGGAACCCACATGCCATTTGTAGCTGAAGCCAGCAATGGACCACGCACCGCACTCGCTCAGCACCCTTATTCCCACCTATAAGAAATTTATCTGTTGAGGATGTAAAAGGTATACAGAACTCAATGCAGGCTGCAAGGAATTTGAAAATTTAAGGTAACATGAGACCAGCAAAGGAACACAACAAATTTCTAAAACAATTCTCAAAGAAATTAAGATCTATGAATTGTCTTGTAAAGAATTCAATGTAATTGTTCTAAGGAAGAACAGTGAGCTACAAGCAAACAGACAATATTAGGAAAACAACATGAATCAAGAATTGTAGCTATGAGATAGAAATCAGAACATTTACAAATTCAAGAGTGTAAACAGCAGACTTGAGCAATCAGTCAATTTGAAGACAAATTGGCAAGAAGTATGGCCACAAACAAGTACCACAAAAGTAGTGAAGTCTTATGCGGGCATGTTCTAGGCTTAAAGCTCTTTCTGGATCCCTAGGAAGCCAGCTGATAACCAGCACATCTTTCTTGACCCATTCATGCTGAACAGTTAGTCCATGTCACCCAAGTTGCTGCGGCGGGGGTGGGAGACTAACTGCCCAAGAATTTGCTTACCAGATGATGAAGACTGTTCAGTCACCAAGAGCACTATTAACAAAGTTATCAATTTCAGGTTGGATAATGCAGGAAAACTATCATCCTTTACCCATCTTCTATGAATGAAGTTATGCACACTGCGTACCCTGAAGCAATGTAAAAGAGATAGTGACTAATAATACATATTTCCTAAAATAGGATATTGGTGAACAGTGATCTATTCATTCTTCCTAAAAATCCTATTGTACTATTTTTGCAACTACAATAGGACTGTATAAAGTATTAGTGAGAGCTAAAAGAAGGCGGATTGCTCATTTTTACTAATAAACACAATGCTAAAAAGTGGATGACTATAACAGAAACCTCCAATAAGAAGCAATAATGTCTTATCCGAGCATACTGTACTCCTACTGACCAGGACTTATGTTAAGGACTGGATTGGCTAGCGTCATGATTGAGATTGGAAGAATTTGCCTGACCTGTTTTCAAAGAGTTTGTGGAAATGCATTCTGAACTTTACCTGAAATCAATTTACTATAATTTTAGGAAAAAAATAAGTTGAACTAAAAATGAAATCTTACCTTCCAATTGGCTCTCTCATTAGTTCTTCTAAGGCAAAGGCTTAAAGCTGTGGTTGATGATTTTCTCATAATGAATCCTCTTAGGAAGCTGTGTAGCCTGTGGCAGGAAAAGAGAAAGAAGCCATTTTTAAATGTAACATTATTTTTATAATTATTATGTTCCATGAAGTCAAAAGACAAATCAACAGAGATATAGTTTCTGATATTTTAAAATGTAAGGTTAATTATGAAAAATACTTTTAAGTATGGTTCTGCATGTAATGTGTAATAAATAAAAAGCATCAACTTGAATTTAAGTTGTATTGAATTTGATTTTTTTCTAACAAAAAAATCACTATCGGTGGTAAATGTCATTTTCTATTTTTTTCTGACAGTTTAAACCACAAAATTACTGGGTTCCTGTCTTAAAGAAATTTAAAAGGGGAAGGATTTGACATTTTGAACTTTTGTTGATCAAATCACATACATGAAAATATGTAAATCAATTCAGTGGAATATCAAATTCTTGGCTAAATATTACTTATAGGGAAAATTACACATTGAACAATTATCAGATTGTTCCTTTCATTGAACCTTATGCCATCTAAATTACTGAATAAATTGTTAATCAAGTCATCAGTCAATCATTAATGATTAAAATTATCAAATGCCTTTTTTCAGCCTTAACTGAAAATTGTGTTAGACACATCTACCCAAAGTAGTATCACCCTATAAATATCAACTGATTTAGCTAAAATGTACTAAATGATATATCAAGCACTTAGAGTGAATGTGAGATTAAAAGTAAAACATTTTCCAAGTAATAAAGATGTTTCTATAAACTACAGAAATTTTAAATGTTTATATGTCTGGTTACTTTTGAGAACTTTAAGCCTAATCTTAAAGAATTTGCTTTAAAAATTGATACACTGGCCTGCCTCCTCCATCTATCCACACCCAAATTACAACAAAGCAAACTCAGCAATCCCTGAAAGATAGACCAGCTGACCACTATTATGTACTTCAGGAACAATGGTGCAGTGGAAAAGGGTAGTAAAAACTAATTAAGCTATAGCTATATTGCTGTAGTTCAACCCAGGAAAAGGAGAGGTGCCTACTGTATGGAGCCCCTCTGCTGTTGTTTACTTAGGGGCACACAGCCAACTTCAGAGATATAGAAATCTGGCACTGTACTGGAGAAGGTGGTAAACAGAATTACCATGTAGGAATTGAGGGTGCACTACTGAAAACTATAGTTGTAGGGGTGCCCAGTCTTGAGACTGAGGCTTTGAATCTAAAACAGTTGCAGCCCAAAGCTTCAAGGAGTGCCAGATCAGATTGCCTATCTCCTCCTAGCCTGAACCTGTCATGTGCTGTGTTACCTCCACCAAGTGTCACAACCAAGAAAACAACTGATTAAACACACCCAGAGGCTGAGGTTGCACAAGGCTGCTTGAGACATTTGGGGTGGGGGAGGAAATCTCTGTGAAATATCACCATAGAACTTGAGTACTCAGATAACTCTAGGAGGCTTGATTCCTTGATTTCTCACTGAAAGTGCCCCTTTAGACCTACTGCCCGGATTCCTTAGGGCACCATTGCTCCTGATCAGGTGCATAGACAGTAGTCTGAAATTATAGACACCTAAAGATCCTGGATAAAAACCCTAGTATTATATGCAGCTTCATGTAGGAGGGATTAGAAAATCAATTTATGAAGATAAGCAAAGGAAAATCCCTATTACAACCCATAAGAACTAAAAATGAAAAGTCAGAAAAACATACCACAAATGCTGAAGTACAAAAACCCTAAGAGAAGTCACAGTCCAGCAGTACAGCAGAATAGGCCTAAGCAGTTGAATTAACAACCATGCTTGCTCAATTAAGCAAAACTATGGATGATGTAAAACAGGAACACAGAAAAGATTGAGAGAATGCAAGACTGTAATATCTACAACTAATGAATCTAAAATACTATAACTGAATTTAAAAATACACAATAGAATGTCTGTACAGTAAATAAATGCAAATAATGGAGAGAATTACTGAGCTTGAAAGCACAGTGACAGAACAAAGAAAAAAATAATAAATGTAAGCCATGTAAGAGCTCTTTGGGATAACCTAAATAGAAATATCAGGAGATGAGAAAGAGAAAGGCATGAGAAATTTGTCTAAAAATATAATTGCTGAGAACCATCTCAATATGGGAGATGGACCAGATTAGTTCCAAACAAAATACCAAGCCAACACACTACAAGATGCATTATAATAAAACTGTTGAAAGCCAAGGACAGACTAATGAAAGCATAGAAAAAAGAAATATCAATAACTTGACCCCATAAATGTTTATATTTACCAAGGTTATGTTTTTTCCCCAGTATCTGAATAGTGACAGTATTCTGCTTGTAGCTCTGACTAAACTTAATGTAAATATTTTAAAACATTTCCTTGGGTATGCTACATCTTTTATGCTTTTTGGCTATTTGAAGGTTTTTCCAAATTTCATAATATTCAAAAAAAATCATCTTTTAATACTAATCAGATCATTTTTTCTGAAAGAATTTAATGAGGAATAAGTTCGTGTAGTACAAGCATTGTGAAAACATTAATAGTTCCTTTCGATGTATTTTAAATTTTGAATATCTATAGCTAAGTCAAGCACTGAGGTCACTGTTGTGTTATACTTGCATTTAGAACATCATAATGTAAAATACATTAATATTTGTCAACCTAATTTTACAAATCCTAAATTACTAAACTTTGAAGATAAGTCATTTGAAATTATACAATCTGAGCAAAAGAGGGAAGAAATCTTATGAGAATTATGAGATACTATCAAAAGAAAATAATATATAAATTATTAGAATTTTAGCAGAAACCTTAGATGCTAGGCAAGGGAGGGATACTGCACTTAAAATACTGAAAGAATAATATTGCCACCCCCCCCAAAAAAAAAAAAACCTATACATGGTTAAATTATACTTTGAAAGTAAAGGGGTGATTGAGATGTGACAGAGAAACAACCTGAGGGAGTTTGTCAGCACTCATTTTAAAGAAATTCTTGAGAGTTCTTCAAATTGCAAGGCAAACATGCTGAACAAAAATATGAAAGTATAATATGTAAGTATAAGTTATACATGCAAGGGTAAATATATAGCTGAAGACAGAAAAATGTTACAGTGATGGCCTTCATCAATTACATTTAACCATATATTAAATACAAAACAATTTTCAGTGAATATAAAAAGCAAATCTGTCTAACTTTGCATGGGAAAGTTTTTAAATGCAAATGAAGTTACTGTCTCTTATAATGCATGGTTTTTAACTGCATACCTCAAGCTAACAAGAAAGGGAAAACACAACTTACATCAGTAAGTTGAAGATCATCAGTAAATAACAAAGGAATCAGTAAATAACAAAGGAATACAGCAAAAGAAAACAATTGCAAAACAGTAACAATTAACAAAATGGCAAATCCTTTCTTAAATAATTACTTTAAATGCAAATAAATTAAACTCCCCATTGAAAAGGCATGTGACTGAATGGAGAAACAAAAACACAAGATGCAATAATATATTAGCATTGAGACTTACTATAGAATTTAGTACACATGGGATGAAATTGAAGGCATAGGGGAAAGAGTTGTTTAACTTACTTCCGACAACATAGAAGTCAAAAATTGTCTGTCGAGACAAAGATGGTCCTTACATACAAAGAGTCAGTTCAACATGAAAATGTGGCTATTATATATACATAAGCAACATCAGAAATGCTCAACATATAAAACATATTGGCAATTATCAGGATGTTTTTTGAGATAAGAGAGAAAATTTCTAGTATGAAAACCATACTAGAAACAATAACAAAGGAAACAAAATGAAATGTTTGAAAACTAACAGCACTGTCTTGTACATTGGTGAGGTATAGAGAGAATCAAAATTTTAAAAGGTATTTGAAAAGAACATAATATACTAATATTAAATAGAGCAAAAGCAGTACCTAACAATTTTATAGTTTAATACCTACATTAATAAAAGATCTCAAATTAGCATTCTGCATTCTACATTTGCATCCCAATGAGCTAGAATAAAAATGAACAAAACCCAAAGTTAACAGAAAGAGTAAATATTAGAGAAGAAATAAAAGGGTAGGAAAATAATACATGGTTTGGTAACATCAGAAAGTTTGTGTATCTATACCCCTAGGTCATATAGAATTGTAAACCCAATGTTACCTCAATAAAAAAAAATAGTGAACAATTGGTAAGGCCAAGTTGTACTTTGCAGATATAATCAAAATTGACATTCCCTTAGCTAGACTAAGAAAAAGTGAGAGCAGCCTCAAATTTAGTTATAAATAAAAGAGGAGACATTTCAATAGCTGCCTCCAAAGTAAAACAGATCATATTGTACTATTGTAAACTATTATACTCTAACAGGCTGGATCACTCAGAAGTGTGGATACATTCCTATAAACATACAAGCAACCAAAACTAAATCAAGAAGAAACAGACAAAATAATCCTGATTGTCAGGGAATGGACGTGAGGGGAATGAGAAATACTGGTCAAGGGGTACAAAGTTTCAATTATACAAGATAAATAAATTCAATAAATTCTGCAGATACACTTAACAGTAATATGTATTGTTAGCCAATTTCAAGTATAAAATGCAGCACTGTTAACATTATTTTCTTTTGGTGTCACAAGATATACTGTTAACTAGTATGTATAATGTATACATAACAGTATAACATAGTTAAGTAATTTAAAGTTTTGATTTTTTTACTTTTTTGTTTAACACAATTGACTTCAATTTTAAGCTTATGTAATTTAATTTTAAATAATGGGTATGTTAAACAATGGCATTTTTTAAATGTTTCATAGTTTTAATTTTATTTGGGTCTGTGATACATTTTATTTTTCTATATGTTGTTATGTAAGGTTGAGGTCCAAATTTTCTTTGTAAGCATGATTATCCAATTTTTTCTATTGCCATTTGTTCAAAACTTAAATCATTTCCTAATTAAATTTGTCAAAAATCAACTGACTATATTTTTGTGATCTGAAGTCTGTTATAGTCCATTGATGTACGTCTCTACACTCTCCTGAGCACTATGCC